AAAAGTAAACAAGTCTTCTTCTAGATTCAATATCAGAGAAATGTTATAGACTGATGGTACTGTATTGTTGGGTAAACGAATAATTTCTAAGTCATTGTTGGCACAAAAAACGCTGTTTGTGATTAATATTATATGTAGACTGAGATTTAATAATAATTTTAGAAATCTCATTTTGATATCTTAACATAAAAGTGCTTTTCCTATTGTAATTTTCAATGAGAGCTATAAGAAATGTAATAATTTTAGCAAATTGACCGAAAACGTTCTCTATACATAAATCATATGAGATTCTTTAATAGATTTTTAAGTTTTGGCATTCTTTAAATACTTTTTATAATGATATTTTTATTTTTTTAAGAAATAATAAATATCTATCGAATTATTATTCTTTTTAACTACTTACTTTATATATTACATCCTTCTACTGATTAAAATACTATTGAATTCCAACAGTTATATAATTGATTAACAGTCTCGCAATGAGCCTATTAATATCAGGAATATATTAGTATAATTGTTAATACCGTTTTATCATTTCGAAAGATCTTCAAATACTGACTCTACAATTTCAATATCACTGAAGCGATAACAAATATGTTATGTAAATACGTATTTGTAAGGTCGTGTCAATATAAAAGGTATCCACATTTTAAACTGCGATTTTTTTGTTCTTAATGACGAATAGTTCGACTTTATCGACAATTGAACTGGACGTTATATCTTATTCGAGTAGAAAGCATTAGTTAGTGGAGCAAGTTGGACCACATAGACCTTGTTAACCTTCAGGCAAAATTTAAAATAAAATGCAAATTTCCATATTAGAAAATAATAATAAACTTATGCTTGTCAAATAGTTTTCAGCTTTCTAGCAAGAGGCACAATATAACGCAGTGATCATTTCGTCTTTATTTGACATTGGCAAACAGGGATGTAATGATTTATTATGTTACACATCGAATTTGCTTTCCTTAGGAGACATAGAGTGTCTTCGTGGAAACGCGATTAGCGCTATCTGTACTATTTCATCTTTATTATTTATTAGACATAAATAAGGATAGAAAAACATAAATAGTGCTAATAGCGTTTTCTCGAGCACATCACAATCAAGTGTCATTTTAGCTTTATTATTTATTAATGCCGTAGGATAGGATGATATTTATGTCGACTGTATTTTCTAAAGGAAAAGCTATGAATACAGATAAAATGATTGTTGGTGATTACTCGCACTACATTGGATTAGTACACATTATTTTTATATAAAATATTTAAGTATAATGGCATAATATAATCAACTTCGACAATGAATTTATTAATATAGCTTTCAGACTATTAATAAATTTCAACAACAATATTGAAAAATATTAGAAATAATTAAAAATAGATAAAAATTTTCGATATACGACGCAGTAATGAATAAAAAATTATTTAGAAGATTTTTTTACAAATAAATGTATATATCATATTTCTAGAAATAGGATAAAATCTAGAATTTGGATAAAATAAAATAATGAAAAATTAGAAATTTAAAACAAGGTTAATGAGAGTCTAACGCGTAAGAGCGAAGAGTTAGGAGATGTAAATAATCACTCAAGTGTTGAGGGTAGTCTTCATTTATTATATCGAACGTTTCGGCTCACTTTAGAGTCATCTCCAGCGAAAAATAGACTGTAATACTACGTTGAGAGTAAGATTGGATCACTCGCAGATTGGCAGAAATGCAGTAGTCCATACGCTCAACGGGAAAACATCGAAGTTACGCAAACATTGATTCACAATTTCCAAGCGATATAAATTAACAAAAATCGTTCCTCGAATTAATATCGTGTTAGTCCATCTTGACGTGTCGTTTTAAATTCATTTAGTTTTTTTTAAGATTGAAAGTCCTTATTTAGGTTTTTTTTTGTTTTTTATATATTTATATATTTATATATTTATGTAATTAAAATAATGAAATTGCTTTTAAAACACTTGTTACAATAACCAGAAGCTATATTTTTACTCCCCTTCCCTCCCCCTCTCGCCAACAATCAGTAAATAGTCGTAAAAAGCACGTGAAGAAGTGAAAATAAATTACACATGAGTAAACGCTGGTAAACGTATTTCACGTGCTTTTTGTGACTATTTACTGACTGTCAAGGGGGATAAGAATAGTTTTGGCCCATTTTTACAAGAGTTTTAAAGCGATCATTATTTTGTTTTATTCAAATTTTTTTTAATTACAAATGACATGCAAAAAACATTAACGTCATTTCTCACTTACGATGTCATGATCCTATATGACCGAGGCGATTATAATTTAGGAATTTTTATATTAATTTTTATACGAATATCGTATATAATGCTTTTAACAAGAGTTGTTAAAATTATTCTCTTTTATGTCCATTTCCGCTACCGTAGATTAACTTTAATCTCGGTTCAACTTCGTCTTTTTCTAATCTTTAGAACTACAAAAAGACGAAGAGTAAGTTGAACCGAGATTAAAGTTAATCTACACTATACATTGATGGAAACGGGCATTAGTCTTTCTATTGCCATATAAAATGTCACACACACACACACACACACACACACACACACACACACATATATATATATATATATATGAAATAAATGTCGTATATCTGCGCGTGTGTGTGTGTGTATATGTGCACGCTCGCGCGATGATCCAGCGATAGATGAAACTGTACAATTATATAATTACATATTTTTACTGTTATAGTTGCTACTTTTGTAACATTTTCAGTATGTACGTGCATACGCACACACACATACACAAGTGTAAACTAATATAAACAAATGAATAAACGAAAATCTCAATAAAAGATACTTCCAAATATCTCTAACTCAGAAACTAGAAATAATGATGTTTCGCCCAATGAGATTTTTAATGAAAGATGCAAGAACTAGAACATATATCACAAGTTGAAGCAAATTAACTGCGTCTTCTTCATATAAATTATGCGGAATCTGTTAGTCGCATTTTATTTTTATTCTTTAAATACGTTTTATATAGGTATACTTTGATATATTTAACAACAAATAAATATTTATTATACCTGTGTATATACCTTTATTATTATATCTATATACGAATTAAAATACAGTTGATTTGTAATAATTACAGTTAATTAATTACAGTTATCGCAATGAGCCGCTAATATTAAGAATTATATATCAACATAATTGCGAGTGCCGTTTTGTCATCTCGAAAGATCCCTAGATACTGACTCTGCAATGTCAATATCTCTGATGCCATAACAAATATGTCATGTAAATATGTTATGCAATCGTGTCAATATAAAAGGTGTTCACATTTTGAACTGTGAATTTTTTGTTCTCTGTAACAAATATTGTAACTTATAGCGACAATTGAACTGGACATCGATCTAATTCTCAGGTCAATGAACATTAATTTAATTCTTCGCTCTTCAAGGGTTTCTGGTCCTCTTAATGAAAGAAGAACCACACCCAAGACAAACATTCTTGTAATTGCTCGCGTTGTCCCGACTGACACCTATTGTACGCGTACACACCTTCTCGTTATTAACTCTTGTTATAACTTTACGATATATTTAAGGATGGGTAATGTTATCTGTAACAAAAATTCAAAGAACTTCAGAAATAACATTCTTTCTAAATTCTTTGGAATCTTACTCTAAAATGTGAAAATAATTGAGCCAGTTTTGAAAAATAAGTGGCTCAATTTTTAATCTTTAAGAATAAGATTTCATTCTTTAGAGTGAGCTCCACTATAAAAGTAACTCTAAAAGAACGTATTTTAATCACAGATAAAAACACACACACACACACACGTTAAAGCAATCTATTGGTGAAGCACATAAGAGATTCTTTTTTACTTCATTAAAAATTTTAGCACATTAATTAAAAAAAAAACAATTGTTTCATTAGTTAAGTAATCTATGTTTGGCATTTAGGTTAACGAAAATAAATGTATATATAAATAATATTTAAAACAACTGTCTCATTTTTTATTTTTTGTTTGTTTTTAGGGTTAAATTATAATATAAATTATAATATAAATTTAATACAAAACCTGTTAAACGTGAATTTTTTTTATTTATAAGTAATATACAAATATGTTAGAATACATACTTAAATACAGTTATTTTAGAAAAAAAATAATTGTCGCATATTTGCTTAATATGAGCAATTTAAATCATATAAAACATATTTTTACGAAAGATTAAATACGAATTCTTATGAATGCAGTCTCTTTTACATAAATGCTACAAAACATTTCGAGGCGTTTAAAACGTAAACTTTAATCATTAAATTTTGATCCGTTACGGAGTATTCCAGTGGTCAATATAACAATGAGATCCGCCAGAGCATCTCTTTGTGCAAGTCTCGAAGAGAAAGAGCGCTTACAAAAGAAAAGTAGCGAGCATATCGCGCTCAAAATGAGATCGCGATCATGAGTTCTGTTATTTATATTAAAATGTTCGCCGTTGGTGGTCGCCGTGGAGCAATTTGATTCATTCGTGATTAAAGCAAATATTGCCAGACCGATCATGTAAGAATTAACTTTTCCGTCTGACAGGTTCTCCAGCAGCTTCTCGAATGGCAAACACACGCAATGGCAAACTGAGAGATTACAAGTTAATTAAACAAATTTATCATCTGTTCTACCGAAAGTCGGCATATTCTCATTGCTGCGTATATCTCTTAATTCAGGGTCTTTGTTGTTTGCGTGATTTATACTACGCGCACACACATACACGGAGAGCCACGTGACAGGTGTATCTATTTTTAGGAATCTCATTTAGAATATTTAGATCATTAACCTATCGATGTGTGAAAAAAAGCAGCAAGATTCAAGAGAACGTTAGTAAATTAATTAAAAATCGATTACGAATGTGAAATCGCATAAAATTCCACTTTCTCTACAGTTTCATTGATTTAAGCAAATAACTTTTTTTCTTCCAAGTAAGAAATACTATTTTAATGTAAAATAAATAAGAAATTTTATCTAAAATTAAATTTGATACCGAGAATAAAAAGAAAGTTTTTGTATGTTATATTTTACATCTTTTCATTATATGTTCTATATAAACTTTGATCATTTTTATAAGTTCCTTAAATATATATATTGTAAACTACACATTCATAAAAAAAAAAAAGAGTTTTCAGAGCTTAATCCTTGCTAATATCAATAAATAAATTACATACATGCGTCTTCGAGGCAGTAATAATAAAAAAATATGTGATAATTTTGCAATAAGTAAATAAATAAATAAATAATTTGTTGTTAGATTGGATTTTTATATACAACGTTGCGCAAGAGTTGTGTCACATATTCTATTACAAGCAAGTTTACAATAGATATTCGTAACAGATAATTATTACTGCGACGCAAGTGCGTTCGTATGGAATAACGGACTAGCGATCCCCAATTGTGCGAGCGGTACAGCAAGTGGGGAAGGATTTTCGGATTGCGCCTATTCGCGCGATCGCGCTCCCATTCGCGAGGAAGGTAATATTTAAAGCGCCGCGACGAGCAGCACCGATCGATACGTTGATCTATCGTCATCAACGAGTGACGCCGTGACGGTCTAAGGGAGGCCACCGGCGTTTCTGTACCACCCACGATCGACAGTCGCAGATTAGGCTTCTTCGTAACCGACTTGACTGCCGTAGCTGCTTCTGGTCCTGGAAATTTTTCAGGCGCATCTCCACTGCACCATGGTCAGCCGCATCTCCACCATTTCTCTTTCTATAGGTCAGTCTTGTATTCAAAATATTTTCAATGACATCCAAAAGTCTAAAAAGTAACGCAATCGAAAGGTTTGCATCGCAAGCTAAATAAACATTGTGCACTTTGAATTAATTCTTTAAGATCGGAAATTAAAACATTTGATAGATAGAAAGAAGGACTCTTCACATAGAAAATAAATAACAATAAATAAAGGGCAAAGTGAGAGTCAAACACATTTTAAATTGTAACACAATTAAAAAGAATAAATTACAAAGAAAAGTAAAAATGAAAAAACGGAAATTAAAATTTCTATGGACTTTTTCCTATAACGCTAAAGAAAGATTAATCGTAGAATTGAGATTAAACTTGGAACGTTTTAACGATTCCGTGAGACTTCAGCTGGAGCGTGCTTCAGTGCAACATGATTATGGGACGGGAGTTGAAATCAATTCTTCATTCATTTTCTCGTTTGGCACGAATTTGTGAGATACCTCCAAGTTTCGCCAACTGATTTAAATCTGGTTCTTTAAAATTGATGTGACCGTTGCCTTCCCATTTTGTCACTTCCGCTTGGCGCCAAGTTTTCGGTTTGTTTTTTTACACGAGCAAAAAAATAAATACCAAGGAAACCTAAATATATTTTTCAACAAAAAATCTTTCTTTAACTTTTCTCATCATCATCATCACACAATCTAACACATATATCTTATTACATACTCTGTAAATGATTGACTTACTGTTTATACAGAGTTATTACAATATATTTTCATTTTCAGAACTTGTTTCAAAATATTTCGCAAAATATGCGTTCGAGTCATAAGCCATTCAAAATAAAATATTGCAATCCATAATGAAATCGTTGCGGCATCAATTCCGCTGAAATGGCAAAAAGCAATTACTCCTCTACTTATTACTGTAACTTGCCACTTTATGTGTAATCATTCGATTAAAATCCGGCAAAGTTCTTTATCGGACGCACGTGCCACTTAATCTTATGTCGCTTCACAGCAAATGACATCAAAATCGTCATTTTGGCGTTAAAATGACATTTTTAACGTCACAACGACATCAAAATGACGACATGAGTAGAATTGATATTAATTTGCACTGTACATTTACGCACGTAAGTTTTCGAGAGAAAAGCGTTAAGATATTTTTCTGAAGACAGTTTAATTAACCATGACAAATTGCCATTGCATTTTACAAACAATTGTTTCTCGCGGAGAACAATAGTAGAAGAATTTGCGTACCACTCATTCCACAATTATTGTATCTGTAAGATAATTGAATTTCAAGAACTGGGCAAAAAAAATTCAGTCCACAAAAGCTAGCTTTTACGTCAACGCGGCGCAACATACTGATTTACGTTTGCATCAAAACAATCGGAAAATAACACTACTTGCACGAGACGAATACGTGCAGTTCACTAGAAAAAATATAGATGATGAAATGAAGATGAGTCCTACAGTAACTTCGCTCGAAGACGTTTCATATTTTCATGTCTTTATACGAAAAGCTCCTCGAAGTCTTTAACAAATAGAATCAGCGTTAGAACGATATTCAAGAATAATCACGCTACGTTCACTTACGACTCTAACGTTGATCTAAGCAAATTGTCAATCAGAATTTTACGATGACAACAAAGCGTGGAAATTTTCTTGAACAAACTTGGGAAATGTTTGAGTAATGACACAATGCATCTCTCTTGCTCGTGACATATATTTATTAACTGTTCTTGATGCAACACGTGTTGATTCAACAGAATGTAATGAACTCGTTCGCTACACTTTTGATGTTACACAGCGGCGTTTTTTTTCTACTGTTTACAATATTGAGATATTTTTCTTGATACGATTCTCATACACGGAAAGAACATATTTTGCTGAAAAATTTAAAAATTGACCCAGATACAGATATAAAAAAACTTTATTGAAAATAATTAGTGGATGCTCAAACATAATGAACAATGCAAAAAGTTTTGACATTCTAACAATTAGTACGAACGTTCAATAATTACTTTTATATATTCTAACAAAATTAATATATAAAAATAAAAATAGTTTTGTGTGTGTGTGTGTGTGTGTGTGTGGCTCTAAGAATAAATCAAATATAAATAAATTGTCTACATGCGCCTCTGCGATCTAACAAAATTATATCTAGGTCGGTATTTAGAAAATTTTTAGCAAAACTGTTCTTTTCATGTATAATTCTGGAGAAAGAAAGAGAGAAAGAGAGAGGAAGAAGAAGAGAGAAAGAAACTTGACAAACTCATTCGTCGCTTGATATTACGCAGTATGTTTCTTCTTTGATCGCAACGTCGAAATGCTCCTATATTGACGCAATTAATTTCAGAAGGATTTAAGTAGCTCATTTTGTGCATATTTAACATTAATTATCGGTATCACTGCATCAATTAGTAAGTCAGAAGCAAACCACCATAATTCTGTTAGTCCGCGTAAATCTTATTATCTTCTCCCCCTACTCCAAGTTAATATCTCCGCATACACGCGCCTAGATGATATTGTTTACAATAGTTTGATAGGAAAATAACTGAATAATGAAAGGAAATCGCCGTTATGCACTTTGCAGTCAATCGCGGTGATGCATAACTTTTCGAAGATTTACAGATTATCGTACATTATATTAATTAACAAAAAATGTTTTTTTTGTTACTTTGGACTAAGACAAGGTTTTTTTTATACACTTTTAGATGCAGAAAACGATGCTGCAAGCCAGATTTCAGCATAAGAAATCAATCGATATTGCGCTCAATTAATGAAGACAATAATAAGTACACGCATTTGTGTCATCCGACTAACTATTTAAAGTCTATCTATTTACTTAACTCCGTCAATCAGTGTGACAAAAAGTTGATACACTAATTTCATTAATACTTTGATGTTTCTTTGCAAGATGGCGTAATGAAAATACGTATCTTTATCACAAAAGATATGGCTAAGGCTAAATGAATCACGTTGACGTTACAAAATGCGCATTGTTTTAATTTCACAAATTCGTGTGAAGGTATAACGTAGGAAAATTTGGGCGCGCGTAATCAGTTTATAACGTGCATGACATATCGCAAAATTTTGCCGCTCTATCAAACAAATGTAAATGATAATTATTTTTTGTTCGGATCTTGCACGTGTTTTTTACGTGAATTTGTACATGAATGCGATATAATTTGAATTACGTGTTTACAGCGTGAATTACAGATATTTCAGACATTTTATTACGTAAAGAAATTTTTCCAATTTTAGAAAATAAATATTAAGATTAGAAACAGGACTGTTTATATGAATACGTCGTAAGTAAGAGAAATATCTACTATTACGGTCAAAGTTACATGTTGGAACGATATATCTGTGTATATGTATTTTTAAATAAATTTATCTTAGATATATGATATACTGGGCGCTGATTACTTTCGTACTTATAACAATTAAACTGAAATTAAATATTATTATTTAGGCGCAATCTTAGATGGTGTATCCAATTTTAAATATTTCGCATTGTTATAAATACTATATTGTTATCAAAGAAAATTTCTCGATGAATAAAATCATTTTGGCTTTTTAGAGAAGGAGACTAAGGATCATGGCACCAAGGAAGATACCGCAGATTTTGAGAAAGCCATGGAAATATGCGGTAAGTCATTGTGAAAGAGCATTTTATTGTAAAATCATACATAACTAACAAAAAAATATTAGAAATACATAAATAATATTATAAACAATATAAATAATGGTCACGCAATTTTCAAGATTCTTAATAAAATTTGATATAATCATTTATAGGTAATGGAAGATATCAATATACTTTCCTGCTGGTTTGCGGCGTGATATTCATCTGCGTCGGCTGTCAATTTGGGGCGAGCGCGTATATCCTACCGTCAGCCGAATGTGATCTAAACATGAAATCCGAAGAGAAAGGACTGTTAAATGTCGCCTTTCTTGCAGGTAAATTTTTTTAACAACAACATTTCACGTGTATCCCTTAGATGGTCCACTCAAATTTTTGTGTTAATTTGACACAAGATGGATATGTTAGAAAGTAACATAAAAGTATTATGCAAAAAGATTAATACAAAAAGTATAACACTGTCATTTTTGTCATTTTCGTAACTCTTAAAAGATCATCTTTTTTTAGTTGTGTGATAATTTTGACGATTTTTGACGAAGTTCACTTTTAATGAGATTGATAATGGTAATGTTCACCTGACTCACAGCGATAATTTGAAAATCACATTTTCCGAGTCGTGTTACTTTTGAAGTAAGGGAACGATACAGATATATTATTTAATGGAATTACACATGTTCAATCGCTTCAGGCTCGGTGTTCAGCGCACTTTTCTGGGGAGTCTTCGCAGGTGCCTATGGAAGAAGAAATATTCTGCTGATAACTCTCTTCGGCGACAGTATCGTTACGCTGATCACGAGTTTCTTGCAAAATTTTGAGCTGCTGCTAGCGTTCAGAGTTATAAGCGGATTCTTGTAAGTACAATAATGAAATGACAAATGTGTACCATGTTTTAATACCGTGCTTTCATATGATTTTTTTTTTTTTGTTACTTTTAGAATGGGCGGACCCGGTTCCTTGGTATATATGTATCTCGGCGAGTCCCACGCGGAAAAATATAGAGCGAAGAGCATCTGTTACCTAGGCTTTTTCTTCACTCTAGCTTGGTTAATATTACCTGGTAATAATTCTTTTTTTTTTTTTAATTATCGATAAAGAAGAACCTAGAATTGCTTTCTTTAAAAATGCTCTATTTATATAAACAATTAAATGTATCACAATAAAACAAAATACATGAAAGCCAATATTAACTTATAGATTTGTTCATTCAGGTTTAGCGTGGATAATAATACCATTGCCGATATCCTTCAATTTTTACGGTATTCAGTATAATTCTTGGAGATTATTCCTTGGCGCTATCAGCATACCAACTTTCATTATTGCCGTAATAATTTTAACGTATCCGGAAAGTCCAAAATTTCTGGTGTCGCAAGGCAAGACTGACGAAGCTCTCGCGATTCTTCAAACAATTTATGCGGTGAATACAGGACGTGATAAGAACGAGTTTCCGGTAAGTATCAGGGAAGAATAATTTTTATTTTTCAAAATAGAGCATTACTAGAATCAACTGCTGATGACGTCATGTACCTTTACTAGGTGAAGGAACTCCTCTCCGATGCCGTGTTCGAAGTAGAAAAGGACAAGGCGCCATTGTCTTCTTCGTCGGACATGCTGATGAAATTGTTAAAAAATATTTGGTGGCAATTGCGCACAACTGCAACGCCACCTATCTTAAAGTACGCTTCTCTCTTGTGGCTAATTTATTTCACGAATATGTTTGGGTGAGTATTTTTAATTTTATAATTTTTGAAAGAGTCGTGTTTTTAATATATTCTCTTTAAAAAGCTTTTAAAGAGAGAATTATGCGATTTCGTATAAAATATTATCAATGAAAAGAGGATATCCCAGCAAACAAGCTGATATTATTTATCGCCATTTTAACGTTAAATTGACATTATATAAAGACGTTATTTGAAATGACAACAAATAACATCAATCTGTTTGCTAAGATATTAAACTCACATTCTCTTCTTATTTTTTATATTGTTATTTTTGGCACAAAGTTGTAATCAAGAATTTAACTGTTATATAAATAAAGTATTACTTAATAAAATATTACATATGTATTGTTTTCTATCATTGTCATCGGTCATTTGTGTAGGTACTACGCTTTTAATCTCTGGCAACCGGAATTGTTCAATCGCTTCGAGAACTATCATCAATCGCATCCGAATGTATCGGTGACGGTCTGTGAACTAATACATGAGTCGCAGACATTAAATCAGACTGTTCCAGAGGAATCGCTCCCGCTTTTAACGAGCAAAGGCACTATGGAATGCAAGCCGCACGTAGATGAACGGGTGTTCATTAATTCTCTGATAATCAACGCCGTTTGCTTGTTCGGCAATGTCGCCTCTGGATATCTAGCAAATAGAGTTGGTCGTCGAACAATGCCAGGTAAGAATTATAATTAATGTGAAGATAGGAGAGTTTTTTAAATAATATTGTACTATAGTGTCGTTTAGTAAAGACAGTTTGAAATTAGCATTATCTACAATTTTTTGTCTCTTTATCTCTTTTTAACGAGAGATAAGATTCTGACGGTTTTTTTTCTCCCTTTAGTGACCACAATGATGGTAGCTGGCATCGCTAGCTTCGCTATGTACTTTGTGAGATCCTCGCTGCAGATCCTTATAACTGCCTGCGTGTTCACTCTGATGGCAGCCACGGCAAATTTCGTGACTGTCAGCGTTGCGGTCGACATCTTTCCTACGCACGTGTCCGCCGCCGCGGTGTCCATGATGGTGTGCTTGGGAAGGTTCGGCGCGGTGACGAGTAATCTCGCGTTCGGTATGCTGCTGGATCTTAGCTGCGAGATCCCTATATTCCTGGTGGCTGGTATCACCACATGTAAGTACGACGGAATGTCCATCTCAGAAAATATTTTGACTGTACCAACATAAAACCAATAGTGCTCAGAGGAACGATTTTATGAGGATTGATTTTTTACTATTGGAGTTTACTGAACAGCTTTCCTAAAACTTGGATCTAACGGACAGAATAACTTAATAATGTTCAAGTAAAAAATGAAAAATCCATTAGATTAGATTAAAAAAATGAATAATTGATTTTCAGTTGGCGGATTGTTATGCTTCCTGATACCGAGTAACGAAAAGAAATAAATGTCGACGTTCGTGGAAGAAACAGACATGTTAGGAAGAGAGCAATCTGAAGTGTTTCGTGTTAGAGTTATGGCATTCAAAAAAACGTAATTAAGCAGTAAAATAAAACGTAAGCAGTAAGCAAATCAATATTTTTATTTGCTATTGCTTACGTTCTTGCCTTATACGGTCTTTACTGTGATTAACTGATTCACTTACTGCTTACGTTTTACTACCTTACGTTTTTCTGTGTATCATCGTTGTTATTTTTTTTTTTAACCAAATATGCGATTTGCGAAGTTTGGAATACGAAAGAGCGCCTACTGTAAATAATAAGCATCCGATATCAATAAGTTCTCGCACAAAAATCTATATCTATAAATCTATATATTTCATAATATATTTCATATCGTGTCATGCATCAAAACGTTCAGTGTGATTAGCATAATTTATTTTCAATCAAGTTATTCTGAGAAAAAGCGCAAATTTATCGATATTTGTTTAATTACAAGAATTAAATGACGTCCTTTATCGGTAATTAATTTTTTTCGGCTCGTCAATGACGATCTAATTTCACTGATCGACGATACACATTCCATATCGTTTTATTACTATCTGAACGTTTATCGATTCAGTCATTTGTAAATAATTATTTCAATATTTATTAATTCATATTGTACATGCGTGTAGTATGTAAGTAATACGTTAATTGCCGCCACATATTTCGTCCCACACGTGGCAGATGTAACGAGCGATTCTTCGTCGCGATAATGTATAAGAATAGAAATAAAATGTATGACAGAGGGAAAAGGTATTTTAATTATCATATACGAAAAAGTAGGGGCCAGCCATTATTTGAAATACCTTACGTCAAACAGGGACAAACTAACGCACAGCAATTATAGCACTAATCATCGTGCAACGAATGAAAGATACTTATCTGTCAGTTTCTAAATGAGTCGGATTAAGTATCGTTTCTTGGTAAGCCCCGCAGGAGTTTTAGGGTTTAATCACTCGATGTTTATGGTGCACCTATCGTGCATTAAAATCGCGTCCGTTCCTCATATATTATCCAATAGATAATACTAGAGACCATATAGAAGTTTTTAAACTAGGAATCTATTATTGTCACGTTTTTGTCAATATTAAATTATTTTTTTAATATTAAATTATTTTAACATCGTCTTAAGAAAAATTTCTTTTCATCAAAAATTTTCTTATGACAAAATTATCAAGTTAAATTTTTCTCGCAAAAACGTTGTTTGCAATTATTTTTCCGCTGGAAAAAAATTAAAATAATTTATAGCGTAATCTCTCTCTTCTCTCGTGTTACATAATATCACTAGATACATAACATAATATGTTAATAATGAGATTCGTTATTATTAAAGAGATACAAAGCAGGATGTGATGTTGGTAATTGATGATTAATAACACGTGGGATACAAATCTGCAATTTCGTATATTTGTTTTATTTCTTTTTCGTAAAAATGAGTGGAGAGAACTTCCTTGATCTTCGATATACGATCACGTTCGCTCAGTAAGCGTGTGTTATCTCGTTTCAGAATCGAATACAATGATATATTGAAAATAATATTATGAGTTCTCGGGAGTTATCTAATAATATCGTTATTTCGTTACGCTATTCGCACTTACTCTCGGTACCTGCTTTCTTTATTATTATTCGTCGTTTATTATTACTACCATTTCGTTATTATTGTTATCGTCGTCGCCGACGTAATACATAATATATACATAGTATGTATAATATATATGCGTATGCGCGTGCGTACACATCTTATGTACAATATATACAGCAACGTTTGTTTTATCTCGATTCTTCGTTGTGCACTCCTTCCGCATCGATGTATAATTAATGTATATATATATATATATATTTTTTTTTTATATATACTTTTTTTTGTTGCGTATATTTTATTGCGCGTGATTCGAAAATGAGGAATCGCGATGCCTGATCGAAAGCTCTTTCATCCGTGAATGTCATCGGTGAATATCAAAGCGAACAATGGTCTGCGCTCGTCGTGACTTAATTTCAAATTCGAAAGTCAAATAAAAAAATAAACGCCAACATTTGTATCGACGAATTTCGAAACTGTTACAGCGAACGATTAATAAAATTATGTTCTAAAAATAAAATATATTGTATAATTACTGTTTAAAGAGTTTATATTCCAATATTAATTATTAATATTTAAAGATTTTATATTTTTCTTATTTTCATATCCAGACTCTCTAGTATTTTCAAAATATCATTATTATAGAGACCATCCATAATTTGTCGAGAATTTTTCTCAATCGAACGCAAACAATTAGAAATGTTACTTCTTAGATCATTTTTTTCTTTGAGTTTCCAAATTTGTCGACAAGTTTGCGATTAAAAATCGATCGATCTTTAAAGAGACGATCACAATCGATAAATCATCTGCGATGGCTAAGAACAAATTTTTATTAATTTCGCAAGACTACGATTTGAAGCGCGTATTCGCGATTTGGGAAAATCTAAGTTGTTTGTATTATTAAAGCGTGTCTCTCTACTCCCCGACTATTTGAACTTTTAAAAAGCACAGTATCTCGTGGTAAGGCACTATTCGTTTATTCGTTATATTCTAACGGGCTTAAAGTGTAACCCTAGAACGTAGGACACGGCAGGAATCGTCGAAATTCATCTATAGATTTATAAATTCAAAATCTTTTCTCTCTTGCTCTTTTTACTCAAAGTTCAGTCCATTTGGTGTATACTGTTAATTTCAAATGAAGAGGAGACAAGATCAATGAGTTTGGAAAGAGGAAAGATACGTTTGAACGGAGGGCTTCCTCTTGCTTTTCTTTCTTTTCCAAAAATACGGAAATATCGTAATACCGATGCCGATGAAGCGCTTACAGTACTTATCTGTAACAGTAGTATTTACGGATACGCGTGATAACCGCTAATTGTCTCTCTCGTTCTAAACACTAATTAAATGTAAACAGTGAACGGCTATATAAAGGCACTATGTGTCACAGACGTAGGGTCCTTATAGGGAAATCAGCTGCCTTCAATCATTCATTTGCACAATTTTATCTTTGATTCGTCGTTCCATTTTATCTCTATCTACGAATATTTCTTGTGAAACTCTCCGCCTCCCCCCTCTCCTTCGGTAACCTCATTTTATTTTATTGTCAAGTATTTTTTTTCTCTCCGCACGAAAAAATTTTGAAATCAAATTCTGATCTTAATGATAAACCGTCAATTAAGTAAGACTCGAAGGCATCTAATCTCGCTAACGAGGAACTATCGTATTGCATGTTGTGTGTCTATGGTTTAAAGATTATTTAAACCTAGCTCACAGACACGTGGAGTGGTCGGCCGATAGCAGTTATGAATTAGTAGACGCTAGCAAACGGCTCTAATTGTCGTTCGGTCGTTAACATTAATGTTATTACTCTCTCGTTATTACTACTACTAGATAACAGCACGTCGCGTCGCCCGAGAGAAACGGTAACTCGTCGAACAAATGGCCGGCTCTTTTATTAGCGAAAGCCAATCGTTCCGTTTGAGATAAATCTCACAACGAATAGGCGTAAGAATAAATTATTCTTAATCAGAAAGCTCAGTCTTGCTTGACGCGCTTCAGAAAAAGCCGTCAGTTTGCCGACGTAACAATCTCTCTCATTAAGCGAGCGTGAAATAATAAAATTGATATTAATCTGTATTACATACAGATTAACTTTTACGTAAAAGAAAACATCGGATGATGTGTTAAAAAATTATTAATAAAAAATATAATTTGGAAATAAAAAAGTATATATATATATATATATATATATATATTATATATTTGAATATTATTTTTAGACAAAACAGTTCGCATTGATAATCACCGAGAATCAAGTAAATAAAAGATAATATATTAAGATTATAAATGAATAAAAGATCAAAAAAGCGGATTATAAAAAAAGGATAAACTAGCGAAGCAAAGGATATGAAAGGAAAAAGAAAGCAAAACGAAGAGGTAGAGTGAAGAAGACAATCCATGCATTAGATGAATCTATGTTTTCTATGTTTCAGTCGAAATGCAAAAACGTTTCACGCAGTTTATGAATGTACATAACAGATGTATTTAGTCTTTCTTATTTGAAAAAAAAATCTTCATCGAAGATGTATATTACATTATTCACATCCGAACCTCCTTTTCCACTTAGATCAGTGTAGACTCGTGCTTTCGATCATTTTTATGACGCTACAAAAATTCACGAAAAATTATCAAGAAACCCGAAAGATTTCTCCGCACTTTATATTATGTACAGATACAATCTATAAGTAACACTTTTGTATCTACAGATGTTTCGAAAAAAAAAACGAAAGGTAGAGCAGTATGAAGAATGTCGACGAGATTGACAACGATATAGAAAATATAATTATAATAATAGTGTTCTATTAAAAAAATCATCCAAACAGATAGAAACGAAACTCCGCAAAATTTTAATTCACATGAGAGATAAAAGATTCGACAAAAAAAGAATACCATGAGATAAACTATTTTCTTGCTTCTTTTTCCGATAATAGTTCATTAAAGATTTATTAAAGCAAATTTGCTATTGGATTTTCTGCAAGCGTAGATGTTTCTTCTCCTTCAAAGTTTTTTTCAGGAGAAGAGATTTATATTATACGATTTTTTTTCGCATTTTCACACGATCGTTTCTCTCTCGAAATTCTCGAGACGAAGGAGAAATCGCTCTCGCATTTATTGCGACGAGGCATGTCGCAGGGGAAGAAGACGCCCGAACGTCCCCGCAGCGATATTTACGTCGTAGGACTGTCCTACCATTAATTTTAGAGTGCGCCTTCGCAAATTCCTTTTTGTTCCTAATGTACGACGACCGCGACGGCTCTTTTGGATGCTTGGGCGCGATAAAACGAGCACAAAGAGGTACAAATATGAATCATTACGTATATATTTTGTAGGCGTACGCATAATATACGCCACGGCGTAGATCTGCAAATCGACACGAATTACGTTCATTATCGTTAAATCGACTCCTCGCATCACATTCCATTTTTCGTTAATTAATTAGTTCTTTTTTTATTTCTAAATTATTCTTATCGTATTTATACTGGTCGTCTTTTTTCGAATTATTGCAAATATAACATTATATCATAATACGAATATAAGGACACGAACGTCGCTGACAAATATTAGTACCTCAAGCTCAAGACGGTAGGCTTAAATTACTTGTAATCGGATTCCCTTGAGGATACGAACGACGTGTCTGTCTCGTAAATTGTCAAATGCAGCTCTTACATCGCGCGGATAGAGGCACGTAACAGCATTTCAAACGCATTCCAAGGCGGTGCGTACGTTCTTAATCGTGGCACAAGAGGCAAAGATGGACCTCGACCACAACAACGTGTTGGAGAACAGCGGGAAAAGAGACTACGAAAAGCAAACCGGAGTCGTTCAAAGAGAACAATCTGCCGGCGGACGTCCTCTCATTCCTCGTTACAATTATTTTCGCCGATGATCCAACCCGACTGTCGCTCGCTCGCTCGCTCGCTCGCTCTCTCTCTCTCTCTCTCTCTCTCTCTCTCTCTCTCTCTCTCTCTCGCACACAAAACACACACACACACACACAGTTAGCTACCTATGAACATCTTTTTGTATACGTCTCTGTATACATATCAATATATAACATTTAAGCGGCGTATACGCATCACAATATATCGTTTCTCGTAGCTCTCAATCCGTTCAATTGTTATTACAAAGTAACGGCCACTTTTACGTTCGATAAAAGCGGTAGTACGAAAGTAAAATAATGGTCGAAAATAACGGGTCGATCAGTCGATTGTATATGTTGTGTATGTGTGTTTCATGTACGCGTGTATGTGTATTGTGTATCGTGTAGTTGCGTGAATGAATACGTATGACTGGTACACGTTTATATCGTATGCACTTAAACACATTATTCTGAACACCGTGTACGCTGTTTCTTTCTTTCAAATTCATTCGTATATTCTACAGAGTATGTAAAAAAAACGTTCGTATATATGCGTCTCGTGTATAATCCTCTTCAAGTAAAGTTTCTGTACGTCGGAAGTTAGCGAGGCGTGCATAGCTACATCCAGAAGAAAATAAAAAACAACACAGAAGCCATCCTTCATCTCGGTCGAAACGTTTCGACGACTAGCGGGACTAATTGTAAACTGAGAGATGATTCTCGTGAAACTATCAGCGATACTTCATTCCTCATTTCCGATGTACAGAATCTATCTTCTTCCGTTAATTAATCGTTAATTAACCGTTATATGCGAACATATCTTGTTCTCTCTCTCTCTCTCTCTCTCTCTCTCTCTCTCTCTCTCTCTCTCTCTCTCCTGTCTCACAATCGTAAAAAAAGGAAGAAAGAAAAGACTCGCGGTCAAACTCTTATCACAGTACATCGTATTACTGTAGTATAAAGCTCCGAATGAGGAGGCATAATTTTTTTTCTTTTTTCATGCGAAACGAGCTTGGCACGTGGCGCACTTTTGTTTCCCGAGAGTACGCGCTGCACCAAGAAGGGAAGCTGGGAAGGCACAGTGTATGTACATGTACTATACGTATGTACAGCACCGAACGACGATCGGAGATAATACACCCGGGACTCGTGGCACATCAATCGCTTTCAATTTTAAATCGATCACGCGACTATTCGATTCAGTACAGGTCCCCTCGCGACGTAGGACTCGCCATAGAACTTATGCTACTGTAGCAGCCACGATTCTTTCTCTCTCTCTCTCAAATTAAAATAATACATCAATTAATAAATATCTTAATTAATAAAAATTAATTCACATTATATAAAAACTCATCAATTTATATTTATATTATTACGTTACTTATAAGACTCCGTTTCGCTTTGTATATTTTTAACTTTCTTAAAATGATAATATCTTAGAGAAAGTTTCAATCTGTATAAAAACTTGTAAAGAAAATTGCACAATTAAAAAATTTAAATATATATATATATATATACTCGTATATATCAAACATGATTAATACAGCATGATTATTTTTACAAAATTCAAAATCTTTAACGTTTAATTTTAAACGTTAATTTATCTTTTTCGTCAATAACATAAGTTCTACGAAATGTAACGAGAGAGTTTACAAAAAAATGCATGATGAGTTTCTTTTTAACTTATCAAAAATTATCAAAGAACAGCTGGGCATTCAATTATTTTCTGTGTTATGTATATTGGATAACTATCTTCTTTGTTTATTATTAAATGCCAATAAATCCCTGCTGTTCTCTGAATTTTTTTAAATAACTGACAAAAGCGATTATCCAAAAAATATTTTTCAAAGAGCGATCATGAAATAGATACTCTCTATCTACATACTGTTTCGTCGATGTTACTCTTTACATCATGCTTCATCTTTACGAGACTAAGAATTTTCCCTGCCATGTTGAATTCAGAATCCACGCGCGCGATTCGCGAGCTAGCGCGCGTAGACCATAAACGCAAGTGACTAGACCTACCGGAAGCCCGACTCTCTACGCTTCCTCTGTCGGAAATTCTCACACGAATCTCGAGAATAGCATCGACGCCTAAGCAATCAGAGAATAAAATTAAAAAAGAAGAACTACGAATCAAACGCACGCATCATAATGATCCTAAGTCCCATGTAAGTCTCGATGTGAATCTCTCCGTTCATACGCGCTCGATGAACACGCTCGCGAACGATCTCGTTCGTTCCCGTCTCTCATTCTATTGACGAAAGTGGAACGCAACGTTGTTCCTAAACGTATTATTTTAACGGCGTGTACTTTGGTAAGACTGCTGGGGTTGTTGGGACGACCCCGGCACGCGCCACTGAGGATCGCCCCCGGCGCACACACACGTGTTCTTTTTTATTTATTATTAACACAGCTCTCGCTAGGACGGAGCTAAAGGCCACGGTCGTCGCATCATTATCACCGATCCTCTCCGAGAACAACGACGACGACGATGACGATGACGACGAGGAGGAGCAAGAGGCGCGAGTTGAAAACGGGACTTGACGATACTCTTCGGCCTGGCCAGTCTTGGGGATGATCACCTACACGGCGCTAGGAGCACCTCGAGCCAACACGGACAGGAAGTGACTTCCTGTCGCGAATACTTGGGTCCCCAGCCTTTGGCGAAGCTGATGCGGACGGAGTTAATGTCGACGGGGCCGGAGGCGGTAAAACCAGCGGCCTGACCGCCGCCGCCGCCGTATGGAAGCTGCATGATCTTGGCGCGGTCGAAGATGTTGAGACAGAAACCCGGTGGCACTCGATAAACCAGTAACGTCCTCGATTCCGGATCGTCCAGGGTGGGCGAGTTCACGAAGATTGGGCTTTCCGATCGATTGTACGCCCATACACCGTCCGCTTCCTGACTGAGCGTTAGTCCTACGATAAAAAAAAAATGGGATTTTTCTTATCTATCTATATATTGAGATCTTTAGGAATTAGTGCTATCAAGTGGCTATACATTTTATTCTCTTTAAAAATATTTTTTATTTTAAATATAAATTGTTCAATAAACAATTAAAAGTGTCTTATATACTCTCTAAATGCTTTAGATTGGAATTTTACTACGAAGAGTAAAATAAAGCAAATCTTGAAAAAGAATTTCTGAGATCGCGGACTTACCAAGGCCGATTTTGCTGCGCGTACGCTGGACCGCGGGCGGAGCATTGTGATTTTCAACCAGAGTCGCTAAACAGAGACCGTCGCCATCATGAAGAGAGTCGAAGACGTTCACTGTCGATGGTTCCACAGGATACAAACGACCAACTCGGCCGCCCAATTCCCAGTACGCCAAGGTACACCATTCCCTCTGTCCTGTCTCACCTATAAACAATCAAGAAAAAAAGAGACATTTGAAATTGATCTAAAATATGATATGTTAAGCTATTGTTTGTCATCAATTAACGATTGTACATCGTTTGACAACATTCAGTTTTTTTTTTCAACACTACTTGTATTTTTTTTATACATACGTGCTTGTCATTTACAAATTAAAAAATCGTTATCGGTGCAATTGCATCAAGTAAATTAAATTTCTTCTTTTAAAATACGATCGAATTGTGATAAATAAATGCAAGATAGTATGAATGTATTATTATATACTAAAAAAAAATGTAAAAAAAAGACATAAGAATTTTTCTATATATTTTATATATAGTAGAATGTAATCTTTCACAAGCCTTTTATCAAGCTGCCTTTGCGTGATTTAATCTAAGTATAAAAATAAAATGTAAATATTCGAATTATAAAATAATAACAGCACAATAATGCGTATTGGATTGAGGATTTCGTGATCAAAATTCAACCAAAACTCAATCAAATTTCTATATTTAATTAAACGCGCATCAATCTATGTATGATAGCTTAATGTGCACCAAAATGTACTGGATGAGTTTCAATCAAATTTATTATAATAAGCCATGTTCTAAAAATTTCCAATATACATCGTCAATACTAAAAATCTACAATATACGTATAGATTTTCAATACACTGGCGGTGTAATCGGCCATAAGCAGAAGCAGGACACTTCTAGTCTATTCTGTCTTCTAGCTCTATCCAATCAAGAAGAATAATACCGAGACTTCCGCTATTATTGTCAGCTCAGAAAAAAAAAGATTAAATCTATCTGTCATCGCTTCTGTTCAAAAAATATTTTTCTTATCTGCTCTGTCATGTCTGTAAATAATAATCGCTGCACGTTTCAGATATGAAACAGGCAGGTTTCAGATATGACCCGTCTTACAATAAGTAAAAATGCTTTATCGAGCACAACCCGGATTATACACTTATATGACTGTAAAAGGTTCGAGCATTGTTGTCTTTCTTTTCTAATCTTGTCGAAAGTAATATTTGAAACGGACGATTTTCCAAACATTTTATCTACCGGATGTCGGCCCGACGAGACGCTTCTCTTCAGGATTCTTTGTTAACGAGTGGTCCTTTCCGGTAAAGAGGTTTACACCGGGAGAAACCCGGGATTACAAAGGAGCGCCGGCAAGTCTCTCACGCTTTTCATCGTTACAGCGTCTCCGACGGCGTCAACGTCGCCTGGGATCGGCGCCAGGATCCCGCAGGCCGGACGTGGCGGCCGAGTGAAATAAGAATTCGGAGACGGAGGAAGACAGAAGACGCACCGTGACGATGGTGCAACATCGAGTGCCGATTTGTTTCGAGCTCAGAATACAATGACACGAGACAGTCACGGATTAATGTTAACACGATCGTCGATGTTAACGTCTTAGCATATAGTGTTATACACAGTCTTAGTATTATTCTTATCGATTTAACATTTAATATTATGGAGGGTCATTTAATATTTATATAATAATATTTATATAATAACAATTCTTCCCTGTATTTTTATCGATTTGATATTAAATATTATTTTAATCTTTACTTTCATCAATTTGACATTTATCATTTATTTATTTCACATTTAATAACATCTAATATTATATTTTCATATTACAGGTAACATTACACGTTACATGTAAATAAAATATAAATTAAGATCCATTTTTAAGTTCAGAATGGAAAAGCCATTACAAATTATGATGTCAGTGAAAGCTTTCGTTATAATTATTTCATATAATAAACATATGAGATGATTTTCAATTCACGTTGAATAATACAATTTCTTGTGTGTAGAATGTTAGACGATTAATTTTAAATTCTTACTCAAAGGATATCTAATTTTAGTTATTTTTATCATGTTTTATTATCACGTTTATCACATTAATAAATAAATAATTTAAACTTTTTGAAGAGTTTTTAATAAATAAATCTAGATGGTAAACTTTATTCATCACAATTATACAAAAGTTAACATCAATTATATATTTCAATGCTAAAATCCTTTGCTTAATTTTTTTTTTTACCCTTCCGCTCCGCGATTCCGACGTGATTTCGAACGAACAATTTTGCGTCACCTAGCGCGCAGCCGTTGAAGATGATCTCCCACGTTTGCGATTTCTTGCCGATGATCGGTAACGCGATCGACGAGTGTAACAGAGTCCCGGAAGCCAAAGGAACAACAAGAAGACTCAGAAATTCGTCAGATCGGAAGCTATGGCACGAAAATGCGCGATGCGACCGAAAACAGCCTTATCGCGACTGCAATAAACATCATTCGATTTCCGAGATCCCGCTCGGACATCTCGAGGCTTGGCTCGGCTTGGCCCGGCTCTCTCTCTCTCTCTCTCTCTCTCTCTCTCTCTCTCTCTTCTCACGGTTCTACGACGAGCTGGCGTGTGTGTCGTAGAGCAGCGTTACGTACGGGAAAGAGAAAGATGGGACGCAAGCGGGCGACGGCGGCGGGGAATCGGGGAGCTCCTTGCTTCCACCACAGATAAAAATAGATATTACGAGTTTACCGCGGCGCCAAGATTGCGGGGTATCGCGACGATTACGTCATCGGTAGTAGCGCGAGTGGTTGGAGCAAGGACGCCTGTCGCGTCGCCCGCCGTCGCCACCGTCGTCGTCGTCGTCGTCGTCGTCGTCGTCGTCGTCGTCGTCGTCGCCGTCGAATTTTCATGTTTATCTGCGATCGTCTGCGGTCTTTCAACAGTTTCTGGCTGCCGCCGTCGCGTTGTGCGTTTTATTCTCCATCGAGTTATCGCATCGCGGACCAGAAGCGCGAAATCAACCGCGAGGTAGATACGCCGGATATACAGGGTGTCTCGAGAGGCGACTGCCGTTACTGGAAATCCTCTGGATATTTAGGGGATTTCGCGTACGAGAAGAGAGATCTGTTCCTTGTGACTGAACTAGAGTACACTTGTTGCATCGAACAAAATGTTTTGATTGTATCAAGAAGTACAAACAAAAAATTCTAATCGTATCAATCAGAGTTCTAGTTATCGTAATTGAATTTCTGGTTATCTCGACTAGAATGTTTCATAGATTAACTGTAAAGGTTGCGGTCATATGATGCATTTTCCTGCTGGATTTCTTGCGTTTTAATTAAATCATTACAATTACATCACACAGAACAAAGAATTTTGAATAATCTATTAAAACGCATGAAGGAAAGCACACGCATCGTGTAAGTGTCTGATGTGTACATTTCTGAATCTATCACACTGAGAAAAATATTCTGGTAATTAGCAAGAAGTATTGTACAAACAAATTACAAAACGAATTTTGATCATATCAACCATAATTGAATTTTTGGTTATCTCGACTGGAATGTTTGATACATTTAACAAATGTTTGACTAGCACCTTTCCGATTGAATCTACTGAAAAATAAATAAACAATAAATTATATATCTATTTGATATATAATTTAGTTTGACGAAAACAAAATAAAAAGGTTTCAGTGTAGTTCACAGACAGCGGCAAAAAGCAGATCTACTCGCTTTCTTCTCTCGCATCGAGGCACTTGAGGTGCAGACCGAGAGATTGTATTTCGAGGTTCCAAGTGATTTAACGTGGAGATTTCGCGAGTTTCAAGCGTACGGAAACGGACAATTTAATTTAATAGGTACAGCGAGCGCATTAAATCCGTCATTTTGCCGTCGGAATTCTCGGATCTGCTGGAGTAAGAGCGCTTCTCGATCCGACGATCGCGTTTCTATCGTGGGAGGGGATCAATCATGGGGATAAATGCCACGGAGAGGAAACGAGCGGACGAGTTAGCGAGAATCGCGAGGTGCGTCCCGCGCGCGCGCGCGCGATACAATAAACGCAGTCACTAAATGTGGGCCACGCAGAGACGCGCGGCGGGCGGCGTATGTGGCTCGGAAAATTGGAAGCAGACCGAAAGCCCTGTAATAAAGCAATTCTGTCGGTTCTCTGAAGATCACGATAAAGAAGCAATTACGGAATTGACTGCAGCTTGCCGCGGCTCTTAAGTGTCCTCATTTCTCTATATCCGAGATAGAGAGGAAGAGGGAGAGAGAGACAGACGTATTATTTCACGTCGCGACGTACGTCCGCGTAGTCTTTTATTTTCGTAATCGTTCACGTTTTCAAGGATTTCAGCTCGGCTAAGAAAAACCTCTCAATGAATCGGTACCGGCGACCGCGTCGCGCCACGAGAATTATCCCGCCGTCCTTTGCACTGCCGGATAACTTTGCAGTGCGGATAACTTCCAGTTTGTCAAATTAATAAACGGAAAAAAATAATGACAGTTCCAGTAGCGCTTTTCATAGAGTTGTATAGTACTTTTTTAAAAATTACAAGAGTTTCGCAATTTTTTTACTATGAAAATATTATTTTTAGTATAAAAAAAATCAAAATTGGGAAAGTAAGTAACGCCGCAACTCTGTTGAAATGCAGAATATAGAATTCTGCTAAAATTAACGAGAAATGTTCGCAGGAATTACGATGAATTACTAGCACAACACTTCTTTGCCGAGTGATGTCTTCTACATTGCGAAATATATGTAATGAGGCTCGAAAGAATCTATCAGTGAGAAAAAGCCGATCAGAGCCTACATCAGCTATTCGGATGTACAAAAATTCTTCATTTTTCATGTGAATGTAACGTGTGTATGTGCGTATGTCATTGGGCTATTCATTACATAGCTAATTTGGCATTTGGATAAAGAAGAGCGAACTAATTGTCGGGAATCACCGACTTGGAATTTTTAATTATGTAATTCCGATTTATATTTTATATCGATATCCGAATTGAAACGTACATTTTATTCGTTTTGTCACATTCGCACGAAAAATAAAGAATTGTTGTGCATCCGAATAGCCGATGTAGGCTCCGATCGGCTTTTTTTTACATTTTTCACTGATTTTTTTTACTTTACAATACAAGGAACTGTGGAACTATGAAAAGAGTGTTACTGGAACTGTCATTATATTTTTT